TAGTTACTGGACTGTTCTTATCTCAACCTGTGGGAGTTACATTCTTTCCATTCCTCTCCCCATCCCTCCGGGAGCAGGAAGAGAAAGGCGGGGGGAATGAGCGAGTGGCTGCGTGGTTCTTGGTTGCCGGCTGGGCTTAAACCACAACAGCAGCTGAAGCATGCTCAGTTAAAATAAGTTTCTCTGTAATACATGGTAATTTATTATCATACTGAAAATTTATTTCATCCATCAGTGTCTTAAGTTTTGTCTAAAGCAATAATAGTAATCGAAATGATGAATATTTAATTACAGATTACATAAACCGACAAGGCTTTAATTAGGTCCCACTTGCTTTCAGTGGGAACACAGTGCAGAACTTCAGCCTTAAGCTTTAATATATGTAAGAAAAAGCAATATTTCATATCTAGGTGCATGTCTATCTAGGGAATAAAGGCCCACATGGATTAAGTACAGTGACTCTCCTCCCATGCTTCCAGCAGGTGTCATTTTAAAGCTATATGATTCTATTAACAGAGAGTCAGAAAGAGAATGCATTAGCACAAGATTGTGCCATACGTAAGGAGACTACAGAATTTTCTGACAAGAGACATTTCATGCCCTGACAATTCAGAACAATCACTGAACATTTTGCACCCTCTCAAGAAGATGTAATTCTGGATCGGGGGGGGGGGGGGGAGAAGGCAGAAACCCCACAAAACCAGCCAAATCCAACTCTGAAATATTTAACTGAGTAGTGAATAATTCAAAAACCCCAAATTTTTGCAATAAAGTAAAATCACAACTACCTTCATAAATAAGAAACTTTTGAAATTGTGTCCTTGATCTCCACTGATTCTGTTGTGTTAGCTTTTTTTAATGCTACCAACTGAAAATACATAGATATATTAGAAAGATATATAGTTATTAATGACATCTAGGCAAGAACTAGTTGTTAAGTAAATCATTTTCCCTATTAAATTTCTACTACTTATGAAACTGAAGCAATTAACTTGTCAAATAACTCAGTTGCAAAAATCTGTCCTAGCTGTTTCAGAGACATATTACCTTGAAAATCAGTACATTTAACTTTATTGTTTCTACTCATATGGAAAGAATGGCTGTCTTACTAATTTCCAGCAATCAGTGCTTCTCTAAGTAAGATGTTCAAAGTCCTTGTGTCCCCAGAGTCTTGTTAAAGCAGCTGGACAAATGACAGATCTAGACCACATGATCCTTCAGGAACTGCTCTTCCATGATTTACTCAAAGAGTAAAACTAGTACTTTCTACATTTGATTTATTTTCTTCTTACCCTTCTTATTGTCAGCAATGTGAACAAAGGAAAAAAAACAAAACAACTTTAAAAATGGGGTTTTGTTCACTTCTTTCCTTTTAAGCCCAAGTTTTAAACCTGCAATATTTTTCAAGAGGAAAGTACTCCTCTTCACCACTGGCAATATCCTGAATTACTGTAGATAAAGCTAATCTTTTCAGGACCTTATAAACACAGCTAAGAGATTTTTAGAATTGTAGGCTGGGAATTATCAGTGACAGCTCAAATTCTTAAGTAAATAAATGTATATATTATATACTAACTATTGTAAGACTGACAGCATTTGAACAGATCTAACATAAGCAAGCGATCACTAGACATCACCACAAAATGAAAATTTTGAGAAGCTTACTACAGTGACAGATGTGCTGCTTGACAGCCTGCAGAAAAGACCAAATAGAGTAACTTAATATTGAAATAATTTACCAATATTTTACGTTAAAAACAAAATACTTATCTCTACTGTGTACATATGTCTAGACTATACTTGCACCTTTACAATGAAGTCTTTTACAAATTTTAGTGGCACATCAGGCAGGAAAAAATATCTGTGATGAAACCTCTCACCCAAAGGAAGGGTTTTGTAAAGTTTTTGGTTATTCCATTTGAGAAGACATAAAGACTGTCTGTTATTATTGTTCTTCTTAAGGTAAAGAAATTTTTAATTCCACTAACAATCATATCTTCACAAGTTACTTGTTTCTCAAGATTCCTTCATAAGATTTATCCTTATTTTACTGTAACCCAAAGAACAGAAAGCCTGAAATATCCAGAGAGTCCCAGCATGTGTGCTGGGTTGACCTTGTCTGGCTGCCTGGTGCCCATCCAGATGCTCTCTCAATCCACCTCCTCAACAGGACAGGTGGAGAAAACAAGATGGAAAAGTTCATGGGTTGAGATAAAGACAGGTTTCCACCATGGGCAGGACAGACTTGACTTGGGGAACATTGATTTAACTAGTTGCCAATAAAAATGGTGAGAAACAAAGATTAAAATACGTATTCCCCCCATTTCTTTTTCCCAGGCTAGACTTCAGTTCTTCACATCCTACATCTCTTCTTCCCCCAGGTGGTACAGGAGAAAAAGGGAATGTAGGGTTATGGTCAGTCCACAACAGCTCCTCTTCCCTCCTATACCTTACTTCTCACACTTTTTTTGCAGAAGTTGCAGTGTAGATAAATTCGCTCATCTGAGTTCTCCTCTGCAGGCTGCAGGGGAATCTTTGCTTCTGCATGGCTGCAACTTCTCCCCTTCTTCTCCAGCTTTGGTGTCACTGGGCTGTTCCTTTCACGTTTTCCCTCACTTCTCACTGCCATGCAGTGTTTTGCCCTTTCTCAAAGGCACCAACACCTTGTTCCAGGGTCTCATCCATGCCCTGCAGTGGATCAGTTGGAGCCAGCTGGAACACCCACCTAGCTGGAGCACAGACACCTAGCATGCCTTGCTTTCCCCTTTTTGATCCTTTTTCATGCCCCACAGCCTCAAATCCTTTTCCTCAAGCCCCTAGCAACCTAACATCACCCTTTCACACCTATCTGGGTATCTATCTCTGACCTTCAAAAGAGATGCCTCTGTCTTTGTTTTAATCAATAGTTTTCAAATATTAAGTACTCTTATTACTATTACTTCTAAGCTAAGAGCATGACTCGATTTGCTGTACATGTAGCAAACATTCACACACTTCTTTTAGTATTTTATGAATGTTTGTATTTCTAATTAGATGCCAGAACATACTTCTGTTTCCAATCTAAATGCATTGAGTTCCTGCACATATTTTCACTTACCATTATTCCTCAACTACATCTAGGAATATCTGTTGTATTGTAACATTCATAATGTAAAATACTTGGAATTTGTACTTAAAGATTTGCAATACATTGTTTAACAAAAGCCTAATGTATCAGTGACTACGTAAAATATTGTAATATTCACTTTAAATCTCAAGAGTAAAAAATAACCCCAAATATGCACTGTATTTGCTATAAAAACAGATGGATCGTTACTGGCTCGGTTCTCAACTTAATGACATCTATTTTTAAATGTTAATGTTTTAATTAGATGATTCCATATTCTTCAGAATACTGTTTATGTTTCAGAGTTATTCTGGGAAACACTACTGCCCTCTCAACACTGAGTAAGAATGTAGAGCAGAAAGGTTTTCTAGGGGCAAGCCTTATCATCTATGATAAACACGAAAGGGGACACATTTTGACAACAAACTGCATCGAAAGCACAGAACTGCCCTGCTGCAGACACCAGAGCACTGAGTCCAAGTGGATTGGGTACATGTTTCTTCTGGTGACAGGGTCAACACTATGTACAAATGCTGATGAATTTCCAAAAGCTATTCATTAGCTTGTGGATCCAGTTAATCGAATACATTATTGAAAAATCCTATGTTGCTCTGCATAACAACTCTGAATGCTGCCTTTATGTCACCTGACACTTGGTGTACCATAGCCCAGAGAGCTGCACATATCTGTCTTGCCTTTTCTGTGGATGTTTGTCCACACTTGAGATACAGGTACAGCAAAGCCAGACTTCAGCTACAAGTGAGAGCAAATATTTCCTATCAAAATGATCTTTCATAGCAGTATATCTGTTCATCTAGAATACTACTGCATCAAAGGGAAGCCATTAAGCATGCTCACAATGCAGACTATCAATATAGTTCAGTTGAACATACTGAAACCAGCACACACACATTTGCACTGCCCTCCGAGATGTTCCTCCAATTCATACACTGTAAACTGACTCAAAACCAAGGCTGAAGATGGCTTCATCGCCAAAGTTGAAGTTATTAGCTGAACCTTAGTGGGACTTGGAAATTTTTTGGGGTGTACCACCATGTTTGCACAGCTGTCAGCTATTTCACTTACATTTCAAGCTACCTAACTGTAAGCAAACCTCATTCTAGGTTTCTGAGTTTTTCATGCTCACTTCTTAAATTTCTGCATTTAGAAGCCAAATTCATGGCTATTGACATTCAAGAAATTTGCATAAGTAATTTAGACCATAAAAACCAACAGTTACCATCACGATAAAAAAACAAAAAAACCCAAACAAAACCAAACCAGCACATTAAAATGCACAGTAACTTTACAATAAACAGAAAATATTTTGATTAATTCTGAATCTGAGTAAGAAATTCTACTGCTTAATCAAATTCATCAGGGATATCAACTAGCTGTGTACTTACTAAGCACCTAGTGAAATAGTATAGTCTTCTAGCAAAACTCGTACAATCAGTAAGTGTTCACAGAGAGAAAAATGATTCAGTTGTACTGCTTCTACATTAACAAATATGCTGGCAGCACATTTATAGGCTACCATAGCACATCCTGTCAAAATCTCAAGGAAGAATTGCACTTAGTTACACAACAATCCTTTCCCACAGGACAGGTGCAGAGATTTTGCACCTTTTTTTTTTTTTTTTTTGCACAGGTCCTTTTCCCTGCTTTGTACTGACAGTATTAGCTTGATAAATACTTTCTTCATTTGCTATCTCCACCAGTGTGCCTAAACAAACTTCGATACCCCTTACCTATTTGTTGCTCTGTTTCCTGGATGTTAGCTGAGAGCCATGACTAAAGGATCACCTCAATTTGTTCTGGTTTATTTATAATAAACATAGTAAGAATAGTTCTGTTTAGAGGAGATTTTAAATCTTTTGTATATAGTACATACCAGTTCCTTTGCTTATATATGGAGGCTTGAAGAATTTCACAATGCCATACAAATTCACTACGGTTCCATGTTTAAGATGATTCAGAGGAGTGTACACATATTTGGGTGCAACAGACTGGAAAGGTGTGATACAATTAGGGAACAAAAGAAAATATTATTCAAACCTTCTCCCCCAGAATTTTGTCTTTTAATACCACCCACCCTCAGATATGCTTTATCTGATCATACTTAAAAAAAAAGAAGTTATTTCTTTCTATCTTACTTAGACTCTCTGAACATAAATATATTTACAGGCAATAAAGCACAAAAAAATCCAGACTTATTACCATTTCCTTTTGAGATTGCATCTTCCTTACAATAAACTAATCAGTTAACTAGTTTCAGTACATGAAACAGGTGAATAATATGGATGGAAATTTTTTATAGATAGGTTTTAACATGTCCATTCAAAGGGCTTTTTAATGCACATAAATAATTTTGTAATCCTTATTGGCAGTGTCACTGCACAGAATCATTGTCTTGTGGTGGGAAGTATCTCCCTCAGTCACTGGGTAAGTCTTCCTATTAAAATAGCACACTTGTTGGATTAAAGAAATTAAAGACTACCTTCTATTGTTTAAGGACTGCTTTCCTGACATCTTAAGGTTACATTATATGCTGATTACCTTGTCTTTTAAGAATACGAGTTCTGCCAACCTGATTGAAAACTCTTTATAAAATTAACTCAAATCCAAGCTGTCACTGTCATTACTGAACAAACAATAAAATTCCATACACTAATTCCTATGCCTTTAATACACTTTAATACACCATTTTCTGTTGAATCTTTATTTAGACATATAAAGGTTTGTTCCAAATGGTAATCAAAAGTACTGTTAAGACCAGCACCTGAATTCTGATTTTAAATCAAAGGAAGATTTATATTTCCATTTTTTTAAAGCACAAGCATACAATCTTTCTTAGAATGGTTACCTTTCTAGTTTAGATATTCCTAAACGAACATGCAAACCATTCTGAGATAGAGAGAACCTGTAAGTATAGAAAAAGTACTACTTTTTCACACTTTATTCTTTTTTCCAGGCACTTTATTTGCAAAATTAAAAGCTAAACAAATGACTGCTGGGATGAGAGTACGGAGTAAAAAAAAAAAAAAAACAAAACAGGAAAGAAAAAGAATTTTACATTCTCATTTATATGCAGTTAGCCTCACATGGTTTAAAAACATCCTGAATATAAACTTACCACCAGTGCAGTTTTTGAAGCAGCAGTTGTTGTTTGTCTATTGTAAATCTGAGGAGAAAAAATAGCAAACTCTCTGATTAAAAAATTGAAGGCATTGGAAACGTAACAATATTTGATAACTCTACAGCAAATATAATGCTAAGGCAAACACAAAGCAGCAGTACAGAGAGTTTTGCTGTGTGAATCACCTATGAAACTAGTAATATGTTTTTATAATGAAAAAAAGAAAACATTTACTCCAATTACACTCAAACAAAGCTACTTTAAGCAACATATGCTTTCTAAAGCAGAAATGTACTTAGTTGAATATAGGTCAGGTCACATTAAAGAGTCAGCATCTGAAAGTCAGAGGCCACAAATTTAAAACTGTACTTGCTTAACAGAGAACTTAAATGGATTTAGGTTCTGTACATGTCAATGCTTAGAGCATTAGATCTACTTTTAGTGACTCATTACCCTCCTTTGGGGGAAAAAATATATATATTAAAAAAAAAAGAAAAAGAAAAAGAAGAAGGTTAAGGCAAATTCACCAGAATGTGATAAATTCTATTTTCTATTTAAAGGTGGTTCCTAAGCTTCTAGAGCCATACTTGTAAGCCAGACTTATCTTCAGTGTAAGGTCTTTTAAGGACCCTATTGTGATGATTTGACAATACTAACACCTAACCACCCTATAATGAAAAACACTGGGCTCAGATGACACCCTGACGCAACACTGCTGTCTGTCTGCTTGAAGCAGGGTCCCACTCACAGCTGCATGTTGCCTGCTAGGGATACGGTTTTGCTCTTCACATTCAACTGCATTTCTGAAGTAAGTTTTACTTTCATTTATTTATTTTAAATAGCTGAGTGAACAGTTATAATTGAGAAAGTAAATCATGCAAAAATTCAGACAATTCATACTAATTTTAAACATTCAATGAGTGTGTCAGTAAATTAAGTGCCATAGGTTCCATTCTGTGGTCAGTGATGAGACAAGACACCTCCTCCGCCTCCTCAGCACAACCTAGACATTCAGTGAGCTGCACATCTTCCTTCGGATTGTTTGTGAAGATGTGCTGCCAATACTCAAGTTGTGCCAAAATTCAGGTGCATTTAGACACATTCACTCAGACTCAGGGCATAGCTTTACTATCCAGTATCTTCAATGACATATTTTCTCTACCTTTACATAATCAACAGACAATGTCATGAAACAGTCTGCATTACAATATGAATTAATTTCGTTTCTCATTGAGCTGCATTCCAAGCTTTAATTATCTGTAGAGGTAAAAAAATTCCTTTCTGAACCAAAAAATGTATTTTCTTAAGTGTAAAACTGCCAGACAACAATTACACAAACATAAGTTCAAACCTTGATATGAGCACAGGATTTATGTTAATAAGAATTTTTATATGAGATTTCTGTGTTTAAGTTTTCATAATTATTTCTAAATTTGTTTCAAAATCTGATGGATAGGCCCAAAGGAATCACCATAAAGCCGTATTGCTCTCCAGTGAAGGTGCCTATTCTTTTTCACTGACTACAGAATGGAGTTCACAGGACTGTCACCAAGAGCTCAGTTCAGTGCTATCACCCTTCTTTTTAACAGCATTAGACAATTACAGTGATCAAAATTGTGCAACACTTTCTCACCAGATGTCCTTAGCTGTTGGGATAATTTTCGTAAGACATATGAAGTGTTTAAGCCCACTTAAGTGTTCAACAAAGTTGTTGCAACTCTATTACCATTCCACACCTCTTTCCCTCCACTACAGGTTTCCAAATGTAGAATAATATCCTAAATCCTTTGGTATTTAAGCTTCTGTGATTTTTTTAAGTCCTGTAACTTTTAAAATACTAATGATTAGACTTAAAAAGGGTAGGAAACGTCTCTTGAAGCAAAGACACAGTAGCCACAACAAACATGCACTGCTGATTCATTATCACAGGCACAGAAGCAGAACAGGGTATCTCCACTCCCATATCTCAACAGATGGAAGCATTTAAGATGAACAGTACTGATATAAGAATAGTACAAAAGAACTATTTTTCTCCTAAAAAAAAAGAGGTGTAATTTTCCTTTTTAAAAAAAAAAGAATCTAGGAATCCCTGTATTTCAAAGGCAAGGAGTAACAATGAGAATTAAAGCAGTACAAACTCATGACAGACCTAAGACCATTCTTGCACCCTCTACCTTGCCTGCATTGTTGCAGCGTATTGTGCATGAGAATGGCTTAAACAGCTCTAGGGATCTATCTATAAGCCAACTAAGGTCAATTTTCTGAACTCAACAAGTAGAAACTTACCTGGGAAGCCCTAAGACAATTTAGATCTTGCATGGTTAGGGTAATTATAAAATTGGATGCACCCACAATATGTCCCAGTTGTTTCATGATGAACATCCTGAAATAATCTGTAGCATTTCAAATTCTAATAGATTTTTTTTTTTCCTACTGTAATGCAAAACGTTTATGTTCCTATTTGCACGAAAAAAAGGTAAAAAAAAGTTTGGTACCCACGTACATAAATGGCTGATCCAGATTCTTCAGACACCTCCAGGTGGCAACCATGTCTACCATCCTCTCGTGCTGTAGGCGATTTTGCCAACTTAAATCCTGCAACTACAACGGTGTCCTATGGGGACAGGGTGATAAAACAGATGATTACACAGGCTGTATCACGTACTCTAGCAATGTGAAATTTCCCCCTAAAGTCTTAAGACATTCAAGAAACAAAAATGCTGAACAAATTTTAAACACTGCCTTGAAGTTTTTTTATTTAGTTCTTCTACCAGCAGAATTCATCTTTTTCAGACAATGCCAGAAAATAGTGTTGTGGGTTTTTTTTTTTCAAATTCTGCTAAAATTTTCACACTCTTGATGTTACTGCAACTGACTGCTAATTTTGACAATGGCTAGATGGGAAGAGTCATGGCAAATAAAGCAAAAGAATCATTCCCCTTCAAATATACTCCTATCTGGGTAAGTTTAGCTAAGCTAGAGAAGGAATCACACATTGGATCAGCAGTAACAAACATTCTTTTCTCAGAGCTTATTTCCTGAGCCATAGCTGCACTTTGAAGAGACTCTCCTTGTAGTTATTTTCTGGTTTGGCTGGATCACCATCTTCCAATTTCTTCCTTAAGGGCCAAGCATGTCAATCAATAGGTAGGTTTCTGCTAGCAAACAAGACATTTCTGGCATCACTCCTAAGATTCCAGGGCAAGAAGCAATTTCATTTACACCTGCACTTTCACTTTGGTATAAAGTTCCTCAGATACTACGAAGTGAACAAGAAAATAATGACTTAAGGAGTAAATCATTCAATGCCTGCAGCAGCTCACCTTTTAGTAGCAACCAATTTAAAAAAAGAAAAAAAAAGGGGGGAGGGGAGAGAAGATAGAAAATATATTTAGAAGACAGAGATGGTAAGAACGGTATGTGATCAAAGTGCTGGGAACTCAGATGCAATGTAAAGCTCCTTTATATCAACTCATTTGGTACCAGAACAGTACAGCAGGGCTGTACCAGTATGACCCATTCCAATAAGCATATTAGACTCAATTTCTAGATGACTTCTAACAAAAGCTCTTCCATAAGCTTTTACTGAAGGACTCTGCTCATGTGTTAATTTGATCACAAAGAGTCTTCTGATTAAAGTTGACAGTGTTGGCCAAATATTATGCTACGATGGCTCCTTTTTGCTATTTCAGTAATCTGACAATGCTACTCTAAATGATTCAAAATCCAAAACCTTTGTGTTCTGTACAAGAAAAAGAAATGCTGTTAGCTTAAGTGACAGTGATGTATTTAGCTATTAAAGGGTTTTGGAAAAAAGAAAATACTGCAGAAAAGAAATTTAATCAGTCAGTTTAATACGTAATAAATCTGCTTTGGGCATGGTGATTTTCAGGTAGTGTCATAAATAGGAACACAATATATGTTTTGATTAAAATATAATATGTTAGTCAGATAAGTGTAAGCCATACTCAGAGCTAGTAAGTTAAAATAGGACAAAACAATTACACAACTCAATATTCCTTACAAGTGGAACACACCGCCCTGCTAACATACATCTCATTCTTTCCAGACAAAAACACACTCAAACACAGGCTTCAGGAAACTCAGCTATTTTGCAGAAACCAGGCATTAGCATGTGTCTTTCCTTTCACTGTACTGATGCTACTCGTGTTCCTTCAACAGTGGAATCAACCTTCAGCTAAAAAGCTATGCCCTGCTATATGTTATTCCCATTTCAGCATTTGATTAGATTGCAGGCTGCACAAGATGCTGGGACTTGGCTGCTGAGTCAGGATTGGAGCTCTGTACAGATGACTTCGTCTTGTTCTCCTGTGCCAGAGGAACTTTAGAATTACACAGACTCAAGCCTTTACACAGGTTGATAATTAATGGAAATGGTTTTTGTTAATAGTATTAGATCAGTGGTGATTACTAGTGATGTAATTTTGACTAGTGATGTTATTTTTGACATTCAAAAATATCTGTGAAAGGACTGTGCAATTTCAAGGAGGAAAAAATCCACTAACTTCAAAGTCTAGTTTTACACGTGTAAAGAACAGGTATATTCTCAGATTTCTTGCAAATTCATAGTCAGCTTTGGCAGATTGTAACTTGCAGTTGCTAAACATGCCAAAAAATTACAGAATTTGCACAGCACTTTGAGATTTTATGTTTATTGGTGAATATTCGTGTCAAAGGAAGACTACTACATTGCATACATATAAGCACTAGGATTTGACCAACATTTTTAAACAGCAAGAAGAAATCCCACTCTCCTCATTCAAAATAAGTGAGAAATAAAGGAAAGACAGTATTTTCCCTGATTATTATTGTTATAGAATCAGAAGACTCTCAGGAGAAGGAACAACACGGCTATTCATGTTTTTGGGATGACTTCTCTATCATCCATATTCATGATCCTTTACTTGCTAGGTAAACAGCACTGACAAAAAGAATTGCTTCATTTCAACATTAATGTTAGAAGTAATTTACATAAACAAGTACTTTGGGGGTTTTCCTCTAGTTCATATTTATATATTTGAACTGATCTATACAAAAACAAGAAGTCAACATACATCTGTGAAAAAAAATCCAAAAATAAGAAAAAAATATATATATTTTACCCCAGGGAGTACAACTTGTGCACAATCCTCTGCCATTTTTCCATATATTAAAATATTGATGCTGTTGATCCGTGAACATGAGTTATCCGTATCTACAGAAAAGAAAAAAATCCAGAAGTGATTGCCATCACCATACCTTCTCCAAAACAAAACAGTAATGATAAGTGATTTACAAAAGAAAAAAAAATGAACCTACAGTCCAGCACTTTTCATTCAAATTAATATACAAAATCATTTCAAATAGCTATACAACTTCTTTTATGTGCTAACTATATATATGTCAAGCAGAACATTCCTCATAGGGATGCTGGGGATGGACTCTCCATTAGGGACTGTAGTGACAGGACAAGGGGTAATGAGTTAAAACATAAGGGGAAGTTTAGATTGGATATAAAGAGGAAATTCTTTACTGTTAGGGTGGTGAGGCACTGGAATGGGCTGCCCAGGGAGGTTGTGAATGCTCCATCCCTGGCAGTGTTCAAGGATGAAGCCTTGGTTGACATGGTTTAGTATGAGGTGTCCCTGCCCATGGCAAGGGGTTGGAACTAGATGATCTTAAGGTCCTTTCCAGCCCTAACTATTCTATGATTCTATGATTCTAAGAGGACCATTTAAAAGGGGAAAAAAATTCTACACCAGTGTACATTAAGAAGAAAGTACAAAGATTTCCACTTTGACACAGATCATATTGTAGAACTATATAAACTGGAGATACTCCAGGCTATAAACATATCAATAAACAGCCTTACAGCAAGACTGATGCAGAAATTATATTGCTAAAAGAGTTTTCTACCTTTTACTGTTTCAGCAATAATACAAATGATTTAGACGATTTTAAATTTTTTGGGCTGTGGAAAACGTACAGAAACTCTTGGCCTTTCCAAACAGCAAGATTCACGGAAGTTTTAGGTCCCTCTCTGGGAATCCTGAAACCATCCAGGAAACTGACTCTGGTCCCATCAGCCTCATTTGCCTCCACTAACACCAGTCATAAGTTGTATCACCAGGTCCGATCTGCACCCCCAGCCTGCTATTCAGTCACAGCCACAGAATGTGTAGAATCAGAAAGGCTCAGAGAGAGCAAGTGATGATTCCCTAACCAGTGTAAAGAGGGAGTTGAGAAGGAAACGGAAAGATGTGGAAAGTCCCTTGAATCCAACACAGGCTGCTGACTAATGACATCCTCCTCTTTCCTGGCTGGAGATGGTGATGAGCTTTGGACTTAAGAGATATATTATTTTTTAGTATCATTGATTACATGATGAACAACTTAAGTCTTTCAACGTGTTAATGTGTCTACTGATATTTAATACCCAAGTAATCAGGTGAAATTCCATTTTTTACTGCTTAGATTGAAACAGAATGAAATACAAGTATCAACTTACTGACCTATATTAAATGTGCACTTACATAGTATATACTGTGTATATACTATATATAAGTATAGATGGTATATGGTAACTATTAAGTGTTCATTTTTCTTAGTCCTTCCTTATGATAAGCAATTTAAAAATACACTACTAAATCTGCACATATAGCTAATGCACTTTCAGAACAGTACATTAAAATTCTGCAACAAGAAGTCTACCGATATATGAAGACTGTATTGCTTCCATTAACTTACACAACATAAATTTAACATAATCTATTTTTGTAGAGAACAAAAATTTTTTGAGAGTATTTTAAATATAACATTTTACTGAATACTAAAAAGCAGGTACTAGTGATGTAAGAGCATATGTCACAAAGGTGTCAAGAAGTTTAATAAAACAAATTTAAACCGTATACTTAAATGCAGTACCTTGAAGAACGACCTTGAAAAAGTCTGTCCCATCTCTGAGTTTTGTTACCGGGTAGGAAAGAATAACTATTCCCTAAAAAGTTAAAAATAAAATAAAATACAAGTGTTATGAACTAAGACTATGTACCTCTAAGTTACTGAAAGACTGATAACAGCTGAAATACCTGCAAGCTAAAAAGGTGGAATAGAAATAAGTGAAAGTTACCATCTGAATTCCAAAAAAAAAAAGTTAAAAAACCCCACCTAAAACCTGCTAAAGACAGCACTGAAGAGCAATATTCTTGGTATTTAACAAATGAAATATTACATGTCTGTATTACTTAGATGTTGCTGATTAGATGATAAGCTTAGACTAAGCAATGAAACAGTAGCTATGGAAGTACCTTTTACTGGTTACAATAGCACAAAGGGTACAGTTTAGCACAAAACCTGAAAGGTAGCAAGTACAGCCATTTCTCAAAAAATACTGGCAAAGGACTACAACATATATATGAAAATGAAACCACAGTCAAGGTAGAAAAGATGCATATGAGGATAAATAATCTGTGAAAATAAAAACCTGTACAGCTGAGGTAACAGTAATGTAATGTTCTGAAGCTATAGTGACCTATATAATTTGTCAGTAATACAAATGCTCTAAAAGACACAAAGGTTCTATTAATTATGTAAAAACACTGTCTTTATAATGAAGTTGAAGTTACAATGAAGCAAAAATCATGGATCAGTGCCTTCAGTGATATTAACACCTCTTTGGAACAAGTACATTTTGTTAGAAATATGGTAACTCATCAAAAGAGCTTTTCCTTCAACAGCAACAAAATGTCAGACAACTTTGCTCCTCCACAGTATGACACGTAAAACACTGTATCCCACTCAGGAATAAAAACACAGAAATTGGTTCAATAAGGGAAAAAAAAAAAAAAAGACGAGAAAAAAAAAAAAATAAAACAGATTCTGTAAAGTATTTAAGAGAACTACATAAACAGCACCAGAAATAAAAGGTTTCTGATACAGAGACTGCAGCAGCAATCTGTATAAACGCACAAAAGGAACATTAAGAGGAAAGTCAGGTAAATCATAATTTTACAGTACATATATTCAGTAGGAAGTTTGACTTAAATGTTAGTAACAACTTCTTAAACTAAATATGCAGCAGTGAATTGTTATTGTAGAGGCTTTTCAGAGTAAAATTAGTCCTACAACATGTTGACTAGGAAGAATCCAAATCAAATCCAACAGTTTATTTTACTGTTTTATAAAGAAACAGGCTCCACAGAATATCCTTTTTCAACCTAAAGTATATTTTAATTTTATTACGCTAAAAAACCAGCCATGTTTACTTAGATTTAGCATGTACCATATTATTTCTTTTGATGCAGTAGCAATGCTTCATTTAAAAGCAAAATGAAGGTCAAAAATCTATGACAAGTTTTTAACAGGGAAGTTCCTACTTTTCACAGAGAAGTCTAGTGCGATTTGTAAGGAAATTTAAGTGTCAAATACTTATTTTAAGAATCGGCATCCACAAAACACTGTTCTGAGATTTGTCTATGAACACTTACAGAAAGGTTTGCCACATGTTTACAAAATTCAACTTTGTTTAAAATGTCAGGTATTATATATAATTGTTCTTGCTGAGATTGTCTTAAACTGTTCTCACAGGTTAATAAACTACAGACTTTGTCTTGTAATAACGTCTTTGCAGTGAAACAAAATCACCTAAGGAACACTGTATTTACATATTTTCGTGGGGTTTTTATTTAAGAAATGTCAGTCAGCACAGATATAGACTGTTTTCTGACCATTTTTTACTTTGTATTTTTTCTTTTACATTCTGGCATCTTCCAAAGAGTTTTCAAATTAAAATAGTTTGGCCCCATCACTTTCCTTTGTATCTCAAACACCTATGCTCTAGCTCTCTTCCTCAGCGGAAATACCACTCACCTCTTCCTCAACATGCTTGCAGCTCGTGGCTCCAAGCTTCAACAAATCCTACCTTACCAAAACCTGCTCAAATTCACTCTTCTCCCACAAATCCTGCACTGTTTATTAAGCCCATCAACAAACTTCTTCCAAAGCCCTCCAAATTCCATATACCACTAGATTTAAACTGACAATGTGCATTTCCTCTAGCAAATCCATCTCCTTCTTTGCAGTGGCTTCCTTCCTCAGTCAACTTCAACAGCTGATTTGACAGCTGATTTTCAGGTTTGGGTCAGCTTTGCCACAGGAAAATCCAGAGAACAATGAATTAACCGAAAAGGCATCAGGTTCAGTTAACGAACACCATGACTGAGGATGTATGACATTGTTTGTGCTGTATTCCTATAAACTTAAGTTAAAATTTGTATTATTCAGAGGGATGCCAGAAAGGCAAAAAAGTTTCAGAAGAATATAAGGACTTGAGGCACACAAACCAGACAGGAGCATCGTGGATGATCTTTGCTTTTTTTCCAGAACACACTTCATAAAAAACATCCCCTTCCCTTCCTCAAAGCAGAACCTGATCCCTTTTTTGGCAGGTCTAGAGTGACAGTGTGCTGTGCCACAGATAAGATAAATTAATATCAGTGCATTCTAAGGTTGACTTCAAGCTCAGCCTGCAGAACTGGATTTTTCTACATATTTAATGGTGCATTAGCACCAGCTTTATTAGCTCTCCAGTTGCACTGGTTTTATGCCAAGCTTTTAGCTACCTACTAATCCACATCAGCAGCAGCATGAAGTTCTCTTAACATAGGACAGAAATCAGAGAAAGAGACCTCTTTCAGCAATCAACTGTAACACTGCATGTATGTTCTAATAATGGTAGCAATTGTTCTGCTTTCCTAGTGGAAACATTTATTTTGGCAGAAAGATTTTCTAATTTATAATCCATTTCTGTCTGCTTCAACATTTCCTTTGTGAACAAGAATCCCTGCTCTTCCATGTGAGGGGTGCTTGCAGACATAGCTGTTAAAAGCAGGAAAGCCTATACGCCCTGCAGATGAGTGGGGACAGAAAACTACACTCTGAGGAATAAAATCCCATTTACCAGAAGCACTAGTTATTGATATTTCCATTTGTTCCTTTGTAAGACCTAAGGGAGGCTGGATCATTCTTGGTCAAATCACTTCCTATCACACTCTACTGCTGCCTGCTTCCTAAAAGGACAGTTTTGCTCCTTTGCTTTACCTAATTGCACTACTCCTGGCATCTCTTTGACACCATAATGAACCAGCCCAGAGTGGGAGTAGGAGCAAACTACCCTCTCTCTATTAATATGGATAGTCTTCTGCCAGTATATTTCCAATGAATGGACTCAATCACAGGGTTAGATAAGAAGCAGAGCTGAAACTGGGAATACACAGCTGGGGAAGCAAACAGGGTTTCTGGATACAGAAAATCATTAGCCCAGTTCAGCTCATTTTTAAAGGATCTGTGCCAACTTTTAAACATTCAAGCCACCCAAGGTTTTCTACAGAATTTCCTCTTCTTCCCTCAGCTTTTTTTTTCTTTTTGTAACAGACTGAAGGCAGGCACAGGATGATGCTGACTTCTTGCCACTTACCTGTCAGGAATTAAAAAGATTTTCAGAACCATTCATAAAGAGTTAAACAGGTTAAAAAAGAAAACCCTCAAGAACTAACACTCCGTTTTACACAACATATTTAACGATGTGAAAAAAAAATCTATTTCATTACTACACTAGGATTGTAATTCCAATCTGAAATATACTTGGGACTACTGTAAAATAAAAATACACACTTGGTAATGCTAATAAAGCATAATTCTATCTTGATGCAGATAGTTGCTACAGAGTCCTCCTTCCACCAAAGTATATACTGAATTGCTTCATACAAGAAAGGAAAACTGCTTCAGAAGTCATTACTCTGAAATCTGATCTTTAAAAAGACAATGATGCTTGTTGCCTTTTTTGTTTGTTTGTTTCAAACAAAATGCCACTGAACCTTCCCCAATGCCTCCATTTTCAGCACAGCTTTCTGCATAGCAATGGGGTTTTAAATGGGTTAGAAGCTTAGCAACTAGGAAAACCTCTCATAAAATTTAAGTCTGACCATGTAAAACGGAGAGGTGGAACAGTAAATCAGTGAAGTCAATAAAAACATGCAACAAAGTTCAACAGGGTCATAATTCTGCATAACTTAGAGATATGCAACAGATGCACACAAAGAGACACAGCTGCAGCAGGTCACCAACTGAGCTGAAATATGGAGTCCCCTCATAAATACACCAGTAGCTATTTCAAAGTAAACCAAAATTCTTTTTATTAGTATGTTACCTGAAAATATTTGTTGGTATGATCAAAGCCTTCTTGCAAATGTTTCAAATCCTCCTTCTGCAAATGGCTTGGTAGCGGAGGTTTAGATCTTCCTTTGATGATCTTCAGCAACTGAACAGGCATAGCTGTTTTATCTAAACAAAAATAATAAACAGATTCCTGAAGCTACTCATATTGTTCAAATTAAGAGTTATTGGAAGTTGCAATTTACTCAGAAGCAGAGTATTTATCTATTTTGTAATAAGAAAGTTTAGCTATGTAAGACAAAATCGTCAGAGGGACTGGCCTCACCTCTTAGTACCATCAATAGCAGGAAGAGAGAAAGTAACATTTCCTTAGCAATAGACAGCCATCCAAATTACTTTATTTTGCAAGCATTCCATAACACTGCAAATGGCAAGAAAGTGCTACTTTATATATGAATTCAACAGGTAATACAATGTGAACATTTTATACACAGAAAGGCATATTAAAACCCAAGCACTTTGAATGACTCCTTCCCCAGCATGTCATGGATGAACAGTCTCTATATTCAGCTGTTTCCCTTAAAGCCAATTTGACTGCTTTGAACCCATGACAACATACAATTTGTTTCTTTGTAACATCCAACCCAGTATACATAAAATTAGGAGGCCTTACAACATTCAGAAGACACGAGAGGCTCCAGGAATCACTATTACTGCACAGATTTTGAGCAACAGAAAGATCTTACCAAGTACTGTTAAGATCTTGACTACTAAGAAGAGATGATTCAAAAAGTTTATTAGCTGGGATATGCACAGAAAGAATTCATATAGGTTAACTGGACAAGAATTAGCTACAGTTACAAACCTCCATCTCAGTAATCATCTGTGTACCATGTTAGTCTGTCTCAAATGCAGAGTACGTTAGCTTACACCTAAATTGAACAACAAATTTAAGCCTAATTACTTAAGCTTTTGAGAGTCTTTTGTCTCCTGGAGAATTTTACTTTTCTGAAAGGAAACCAATAACAAGGAAACAAGAACAACTATCTGGAATGGACAGCAGGGCAGGGAACTTTAACACATCACAAAACAGAAACACAGTCTCTCACAAGCAGACCAATACCCTGATGGTCTCTAACCAATGGCTCCCTTGGAAGACCCAATGAAAAAGCCTGTTTTTTCATTGTTGCATGTTTTTATTGAGCATGACTCAATGGTATGGAATGTCCTTACAGCCAATTCATGTCAGCTGTCCCAGCTGCATCACCTCCAAACCTCTCTCAGCCTACTTGCTGAGAGGGAGAAAGCCTTGGTGCTGCTCAAGCACTGTTCAGCCACAGCTGAACTACTTGTGCATCATCAAACCTGGTTTAGTCACAAATCCAAAACACAGCACTATGCACGCTGCTATAAAGACAGCTTCATCACAGACCAACCCAGTATATCTCTAGAACATATCCACTAGGATACAATGACACCCCATGGAAGGGACCCACACTTGGAGCCATTTGTGAAGAACTGCAGCCTGTGGGAAGAATCCACATCAGAGAAGTTTGTGGAGGACAGTCAGTCGTGGGTGGGACCAAATGCTGGAGCAGGGAAAGAGCATGAGGAGGAAGGAGTTAAGCTAAGCTCAAGAAGATGGGAGAGGTGGAGGGGAGGTGACCTGAGATTCTTTCTTATTTCTCATTCCTACTGTGATTTGATCAGCAACAAATCAATCTAATTTCCCCAAGTTCAAGTCTTTTGCCTACGATGGTAAGTGGTCAGCCCACCACAATGCAGAGCTGGGAGGTACATCACCAGGCAGGGTTCAGTTTCCACTTGAGCGGAAGGAAAGGTAAAAGCCTGATGCAGAGGTGCAGACACTGTTCCGTCTCTGTTGACTGCTTTAACTACTGAAGTATTAGGAGCTAGAATTTCTATAAAATATCACTAACTGATGCCAAAATGATGGCTTGATCTCCACATTTTCAAACATGAACCAGAATAGCCTTGTCATTAGCTTACTAGGATTTCAAAGCCTCCAGTGTAAAGAGCTACTAGAAGTGTCACAAAGCTTATCAGTTTAAAGACTCTTCTACATTCTCTATATAATTTTATATATTATTCTATATATATTTATAAAGACATTATATTCTAGCAGGCTAAGAAGCTGATCTTTTCCACCCAGAATCAGTCAACTTCAAAGTTAATCAGTAATGTTGATCTTCATCCAGCAACACCACAATGAGCTACGGAGATATACAACACAGCAGATTAACACTTTTACGTACTCCTCTCTGTTACAGTACTTGAGCAATTAAGACTTTCTTGTTTGGTTGGGGGGGTTTCCCACAAAGATGTCTAACAGCAAGATGCATTCTGTTACAATGCAAACATCATACTTAAAACAAAGCAAAGACACGAACTGAAGTTTTAAAACTCTCTCTGATGACTACCCTCAAATTCCACAGCTCCTTTGCTTTCACTTAAAAAGAGCTTTTGCCATTTATTTCAATGGAACAAATATTCCACACGTGCCTTCAAGTTTACCAAGGGAAGTTTCTAAAAAGGAGCCATATGTGGGCTGATGCAGTGGGACCTGCCCATATTCTTTACTTACTATATATTCCTACGACTTGACATTTATGTAAATACCATTCAACTAGAAAACAATTTTTTTATTTTTTTTATAGATCTTCAGCTTCTGTACATATAAAACTAAGGTCATGTATTCTAACTGCTAAGCACTGGAACTCCCACATTCTCATTCTCTGCAATTGAAAAACAAAGATGTGAGTACCCAGCTCTTAAGAGCCATAAAGGTAAATTTTCCAAAACCAAACTTATACAGCACTGGCTTCCCAAACCTATAGGAAAATATGTTTAGTGTAGTGCTTGGTGTTCACAGCTCTCCTGAATAGTATCTAAGTGAAAGTAAGCGTGACATGTAACATCTTGTGTTACAAAGGCTGACTTTGTAACACACGTTCCCACTTCAGTCTTTTGAGCTTGCTGTTCAAGAAGCCTGTGTCATAAACAGAGCTATTCATAGAATCACAGAACAGCTAGGAAAGGACCTTAAAATCACCTAGCTCCAACCCCCCCTGCCATGGGCAAGGATACCCCACATTAGACCACGTTGCCCAAGGCTCTGTCCAACCTAGCCTTGAACACTGCCAGGGATGGAGCATTTACACCTTGCACTTGGCTTTGTTGAACTCCATGAAGTTTGCATTGGCCCATTGGTTTAACAGAACTAAAAAAATAATAAATAAATAAATAAATAAATAAATAAAGGCCTGGAATTAAGATAGACAGCATTGTGGGACCCTCCTGGAACAGGAGGGACACACAACACACACAGTAAAGGGAAAAAGGCAGTGTAGCACCCTAAAGAGAAAACTACGCTACCTACTTAAGTTATTTGAGGATGGTTATGGGTTGAAATTTTTTTATGCTGCTCTGTCCTACCCTTGATTTTCTACCTTTTTTTTTTGTAGATCCTCAAGTTTCTGAGAGCAGAACAATCAACTAGTTCTGTCTTAATTGCCAACAGAACATTAATATGTATTCCAACCCATCTTAAACACCAATACACCAGAAAACAATTGCCTAGCAGAAATCACTTTGAGCAAGGGTTAACCTTCAACAGAAATAAGTCATCATTTTATTTTTTATTTATTTTTATTCTGGAATGAGGACATCATTCCATCGGAATACTGCAGTCACAGGATGCCTCTATCTCTATGTCCAGAAGCAAGAGAAAAATTCCTATATCTGAAGGACTTTACCTTATTCTTCTCACTTGCAGCTCGAGAGTTTAAACATCCTCAGACCTGAACTAGGCAGCTAGGTATGCTCTAAGGTATGTGCACAGAAACAAGAAAGCTTTCAGTTTCACAGTCTTAAGAGTTCACACAGAAAATAGAATAATTACCATTTCCTTTTTAGGTACAGTACAACCCAGATACAAGCTCTGAGAGCCTGGTAACTTCAATGTTAAAGACAAAGCATACACCCACAGGTTTATGCACATACAGAATCAGACAGTGGCTCTACTAGAGGTTTAAAGACTGCAATTTTGGAGCCTTGCACTGCAAAAAAAAAAAACCACACATGTTCATTTAAGTCTTGTGATAGCCTCATATCTTTTTTTCTCTAGGCTTTTTAAGCTTTCATAATAATAATAATTAAAAAAATCATTATCATCTTAAATTATGTTTGGAAAACCACCAGAATTTAAACTCTCAGATAAGCTGCATCACTCTTCACTGCACTTTGAAAATCATTCAGAAATGACAAGGTGCAGTTGCAAGTGAAATTATCACCACAGATCCACAAACAATACAGAACTGTTGACATGAACAGCAGCGCAACATGACCAAAAGACAGGAACAAAGGAAAATAGGCCACATACAAAAGGCAAATTTGTTCTTATCATCAAGATAATGCACCACTGTTTCTCCCCTTCATCCTGCTTCTCCAAGCAACACGAAATAGCTAATCTTTGTATGGCAATAAGCATAGTAAAGCAGTATGAAGATTTTAAAGGATTTCAGAATAAAAAGCTGTAGGTAGCAAGCTCAGTATACAAAAATGTTCCTATATACTGTCAAAGTTAAACTAAAGGTACCAACATGCCTTATAATAACCTAAAGCCCCAGGGAACATTCTAGCAGTGGAAAACATTTTATTAGCCATGACAGGCAGATCAAGTAAACCTCCTGTTAGGCCCAGGAATCACTCCACCTACAGTTTGAATATACAAGTTAGTGAATTCTTTTGAGCAAGAAGAATCACTAGCATTCCGTGAATATCTATTGACTGTTCACATATGATAACAAATCAGAAGAAAACTCATTTTGCTCATAATGGAATGATGTTCCATAGACCTCATATATGAGGACAGATGTGGAACAAGTAATATAAGGAAAATAGGGTGACAGTCAGAGTTAATATCTTGGGTTTTTTTCCTCACATATCAAAAGAAATAAGCATTTTGTGGACAAGGAAAAGAGATCACAAACCCCCATTGTCTTTATTTGCTGAATTAGTCCACCATATTGGTCATCCATGTCTAGTTCTCTAAAACATTACAATTCTGCTATTTCCTTCAGCAAAAAAATTATCAAGACATATTTAAAAGAATAAAAAAATAAATAAAAATCAAACTCGGCCTGTAATAGCACCCTAATCTGTAAAATGCAAGACAAGCTTTACCATGTTTAGTTCACACTGCCAAAAACTAAACATATAAATATCATAGACAATGGAAGCCCGCTGTAAAAACTTCAAACCCTTAATCCTGAAAAAAACAAGACTGAAAAATAAGCATATTAATATTCTCCATCTGGGCTCCAGCATTAACTTCATGGAGGAGGTAGTGAAAGTTAGATCTGTTCTTCTGTTATGGTTTATCATCACAGTGCAGCCATCCAGTGCACAGGATAGGAAGTAATTAACAACTTGCCTGGATTATTCAGATGCAGCCAACATTTGAGCCTTAACACTTAAGACAAAAATACTCACTACTGAGTCCTGACTCTACCTCTTACATGACAAATGGGCTATTCCACTGTCGTCTCCTCTAGAACACAACTTTTCTTTAAGAATTAATGAGAGGTTAGCTTTGGGGCAGAACAGTAAAGAAAACACAAAAAGTGAGAGGTAAATTCGAAAGATTACTCCCTCTCTACAACCAAAAAATACTTCAGTGGAACATGAAAATGACATACAGGGAATTAATGGCATCTGGGGAGAAGAAAGGTGCAGTAGTCAGAAGCATGAGGAGATTCCACATCTATCCAAGCAGATGCTATATGCAGAGAGACATATAAACTCATTCTACAAATCAGAGAATAAAACAGAGGATTGGCTGGACCTCAGGAGGAAACCTCACCAAAGTTTCAGGAAGAATGAAGGAATAGCCAAGAGCATCAGCATCTTATTGATGTAGTCAGTCAAAACGGTAGATATCAGAAGGCCCTGCAAACACAAACACTAGTCAGTGCAATATTTGGTATAAATATGTAAAAATTAAAACATACAAAATAGACAATGCCTCATTTTAAATATGCATACTTATGTAGATACTGATATACACTCATGACACAGTTTATGTGAAATTTTCTTATAAAAATGAACACTTATACCATTGAACAAAACAGTACAGGACTAGCACAAACTCAACCTGCTATCAGTCACAACAGAAATCTTTCATTTTATAGCAGTATTAAAGAAATCCAGAGGACCATTCACAAAGAACAAAGTTTGGAAGAGTCTAGAATTTTTCTAATAGCCTAGAATTTTGTAACTTGTGATTTCTTTGAGAATTCTCAAGAGAAGAAAAGACCATGTCAGCTAACTAAAACAGAAGAAACCAAGTCAGCACTGTGACACATCTTATTCCCTTAGCTATAAGGATCTAGCTTGCTGTTGCTGCAGATCTTCAGGAACTTACATTCTGGAAACAAGTCTTAGGCTATTACTCTTAACCACAGAGCTGGTACTTATTTTCACTAGAATACAACTAGAATTCTAGCAAAAACAAAACAAAGGAAAAACAAAAACACAAAACCCCAAAACCCCAAACCAAGAAAAAAACCTCGCAAAAATAACCACCGACAACCCAAACAAAAAAATCTCCCTTATTAATTTTAGATTAAAATTTACTAATCTGATATTGTGCAAAAGAGGCCACAACCAAATGTTACCCAAGAAAAACAGCCTATTATACTGCCATTATCTGAACAATGCTTCAGCTATCACTGAAAAACAAACAGACCTCAGGAAGACAGGGCCACAAACAGTGCAACTAGAGTCAACCCAGCAATTACAAAAAGCTGAGATCTTTAAAACTAAGAGTTTAGATGCATTAGCACATGCGTATTAACAACAAAAGTTTGTATTTTTTTTTTTTTTTCTGTACACTCAGTACTTATGAAGGAAAGAAAAAAGGAAAAGCTCCTAATCCTAGAAGCACTGCGTTTGTCAAAGCTGGGGCTCAATCCCCGCAGCAGAGGCCGCTTCCAGGCCAGCTCAGGGACAGAAGATCGGCGCAAGGTAACTGCAGGTCTCACAGAGAAAAGGCAAACCTAGCAAGACGCCAGAGCCACTTAAGGCCAGGGCGCGGGCTCTACCTCTCCCGTGCAGTGGCCAGCGGCCAGGCGGAGTCTCAGAGCTACGACAGCCCCTCTTCCACAGCCGGACCGCCCGGCCGCTCGCTCCCCTCAGCCCCAGAGAATGGGCAGAGCATCCCACGGCGCCTCACTCCCAGCCGTGCAGCCACAGCACCAAAGATACCTGTCTCTGAGAGAGGAGCGCCCGTCACGGCTGTCAACAACCCCACTTCCGCCCGCTCGTGCCGCACAGCGCGATTTGCGCATGCGTACCTGCTGCGCTGGACGGGGTGCCTGCCGTTGGGCGCGCTAGAGGGCGGAGCAGGCATGCGGCCTGGAGGTTGGGGTGCGCTGTCTTCCCCGGCTGCGCGGCTAGGGGCGGGGATGGTGGGAGTGGAAGGGAAGGCGGGAGAGAGAAAGTATCCCCTTAGCAGGGCCCGCCAGCCTGCCCCCGAGCCCCGCTGTGCCTCCTTGAGACCCATCAGCAGTCGTGTGGGTCCAGGGCAGCCGGCGAGCAGAGGGAAGGCCCGAGGCTGCTGCGCACCCCACCTTAGGAGGGTGCCCTGCGCCCGTAGGAGGCGGCCCGTTATTGCGGAGCTGGTAAAACGGGGTCCTCGACGGAATTCAGGAGCACTTAAAACTCTCACTTGCAGGAGGTCAAAAAATATGGGGGAAAAATGCTCTGCTTCCTGGCTGTGTTTGTTCGTTGTTTAAATGGCAGGAGGCATCAGGTCAGGCTTTGAGCAACAGCATTTGTCTTTTGTCTCTACACGGGATCCCTCAGGCTTACTGATGCATGTTCTACGAGCTGACACCATGCCAAGATGCCGTTTGCAGTACTTGCCAATTCAAAATTACAGCACACATGGCTCAACATCGCAACAGCAAGGCTCCTTCCTTTAGAGACTGCAGCTTTCTCTCCAGTACCTCGAAGAAATGTCTTCTGCCAGCCAGAGCTTGCTCTCCCCTTTCTCCTCTCTGCAGCTCTGGGTATCTGGGACAGATTTCCTTTTCTTGTTTCTCATCAATTAGTGACTTTAAAAAAGTCCCACTGGAAATAATTTTCTCCTTTCTCTACCTTTAAAACTTTTCCTTTACAATCCTCCCCCTATTTTGCCACTGTTCTAGTTAAGTCTCTGAAGTGTTTTAGTTGAATTTTGAATTCAAATTCGCTTAAAAATTGGAACTTAAATTCATCCATGTTCAGGAAGCCTCTGGAGGGGGATACACTGACATTTATGTTTTGTACTTATTTCCATTGTTGCCAGCCTTTTCTGGAATAGATTTCTTTGATCATCACTGTTTTCAGTAGATCTTGATCCTATGCCTTCCATTGGGTATTAATGTAGCATGCTTGGTTATAAGCAAAGAATATTGTTAAGACCTTGTTATACACACATGATAAAAATAGCACACAGTTGAGCTAAGATGGGCCTGGGAATTTAAGCACACCTGGTTTTCTGGAGGGTTAATGATCTGCTTGTCTGAAGAGCCAACTACAGTAAGAGTACATAGGCTGAGAAGACTGGTGTCACTCATCCATGTCCTTTGCTTCCATCAAAAGATTTGGAGAAATCAGCCTTACTTGTAGACTATTAAGTTACGTCAAGTGAGTATTCCTGGTGGGGTATTGTCTGTCCTGTCTCATGGCTTCTGTTTTAAATCTACATTTTGAAAACAACAGTTTTGATCACAGTTAAATATTTATCAGAAAATAAGTTGATAAAGCAGCAAAGAATACAGTCAAGAATAAAACATTTTTAGAAACATTAAGTAGAAAAAAAAATAGTGTAAAATTTAAAAGAGGGCAATGTGAAGGAATTCTACTTTAGCCCACTGAAGTGCTGCTCTTTTCTGTTCTAATTCTTTTTGCATGCCTGTAAAAGATCTGCTTAGCAATTATAATTATGGTGAAATGAAATCATGGAAGGCTTATGCATTATAGATGAATTAGATTAAAATTGTTTGGAAGTTGCACTCCTGAGTAATTTAAATGGTTACTTGATCTTCTCATCTCAAACCTATATGTATATAATCAAAAGAGAAAAATGAAGGAGAAGAGGCATATAAGCAGAATTTTGACAAAAGAAGATAGATCCCAGTTTTATCTGTCAACAGAATAGTTGTTGGTTCTGTCAGAAATTTAGCCTGAAATCTTTTTTTTTAGTTTTGATACTGGTTGTAGGGTTTTTGGTTTTGTTTTGTTTTGTTTTCTTTAATTATAGTCATCTTCTTCTTCAGCTATTAGTTTTTCTTCAAGAAATTATCCAGTTTCTGTCAGTATAATATTACAGTTTATATGAGAATTTAGATGAAAAATATATTGAATTACATTACATCAGACAGTGATTATGTTCTGGTATGTATATACTGTATGTTCTCATGCTATTTGCAGTGATCTTTAAATGTGCTGCAATTTATATGTATCTTAGTAAAAAATAATATCTCTGTAGAGGAAAAACCCCAAACCAACCACTCTGCTCAACAGAATTCTGATCTTAACGTTGGTTTGGTATGTAACTTTCAATAAATCATGTTTAAAGCTTTCACTACTAAATGAAAGTTCATAAATAAATAACAACATGATAGCCTTATTTCTTGAACTTGTGTTTTGAAAAGGGGGTTTGCAAAGAGGGTACACAGGCAACAGTTGCTTGTACTCCTAAACAGTTAAGGAATCCTCAAAAGCCCCAAATGCAACTGAAATTGTGATCTCACATAATGGTGAAATTAATAATAATAATAATAATAACAAAAATAAAACCTTTCCATTCACTTCAGCAAGACAAAAACTTTCCCATTGAAAATATATGCATCAGAAGACATTGAAGCAAAGCTTTCAGAAATAGATTTATACATTAAATCAATATGTAGTCACAGAAGCTCCTGAAGACTGTTCTCAGAAAGAGGCAGGGAACTAAATAGGGGTTTCAGAAACTTGTGTCAGGCTCATGGGTTTTTTCAAATTTTTGGAGTAACTTGAAAATACTGGGCAAGATTTTCAATTTTTTATTTATTTATTTATTATTTTTTAAATATGTTGCAGTGGCAGTCAAGTCCACAGCAATATTGAAAATTCTATCAGTTCAACCTTATTTTCCTCTGACATCTTAGAAGACAATAGCAAGAGAATTGTCCCATAGGAATACAACCTATCTCTATTAGCAGCTCTCCTGGTATAGCGTTTTCCGTGTTCAGCATGAGACATTTCAGGCTACTGAGACAGTGTTAAATGTGAAGTATATACTCTGATTCTAAATAATGTAGCTCTCAAAAAGGATCAGCTTTCATTTCATTTGAGAGCTGTTGTAGAACTATTTCCAAAAACATCCACAGCTAAAGACAGCACTCAATTTTTTACTAGACTTTTACAGATACAGGCCAAATTCAGACAGTTATGGAGCAAAGATCCTTTGCAATATATCTGAAATGATGCATTGCTTGTTAGAGTTGATAGGTTAATAGAAATAAAAAATCCAGATTTATTAAAATTAATAAATTATTACAGTATAAATGTTTAATAATTTCTAGGTGATTTCCAAGAATGCATTTTGACTAATTGCATCTTTTTAAACATAGTTCATGTGCAACGAACCACTACAAAGTGCTTTACTTAAATGATTTTTGTTCTCTAAAGGACAGTCAGGTCCATGAATTTTTGTTATTGCTGCTGGCAAACCTGAAATACAGAGGCCAGAATTAGAGTCTTTTGAAATCAGTATACTTGAAATCAGAATTACTTAAATAAGTAATTCTTCACTATTAGTATTATACTAATGTTCTATGTAATTGAATCTCACGTACATGGATATAGCTTATGTTGATGTAAAAATAAACAGAACATACATTTAGTAAGTATTTAATGGATACATTATGATAATTAAGGGAGCAAGATTTGCAAAGGAGGATAAATCTTTTATTAGACCGAATTCCATAGGTTATAGATTGTGCAAGTTATATGATAGCAGTGGACCACTTTCACAGGTTGTTGCTGGTATTTCAGTACCTCACTCACATAACAGATTCATGAGTCCCTGACCACAAGAAGCCAGCTGTAAATAACTCTCTTAACAGAGTAGTGGGTGAAGAAAGACACATTCTGGTCAGAAGACAATTTTCTCCTGTGTCTAGGTGATAAGGAAAAGAAATGGGAGAACATCCAGGGAAAAGCAAAAAGCTGAATGTAAGGCAGAGGAGTGAAGAAGGTCTCCACTATTGTGATTCCTGAAACTTCTTTGCTTGTGGCAATTATGTGGTTCAGCAAATCTAAAATATATCTTCAGTCCCAAGTTCTCTTATAAAAGATGGTGATACATGGAGTCACTCTCAAAGGAACAGTTCTTATACCTACTGGCTAATTCAAAGCTTACTGGGGTTTTCAGCATTAATAAGACAGGTATTAATAGAATA